AGTTAGTTAGTTAGTTAGTTAGTTAGTTAGTTAGTTAGTTAGTTAGTTAGTTAGTTAGTTAGTTAGTTAGTTAGTTAGTTAGTTAGTTAGTTAGTTAGTTAGTTAGTTAGTTAGTTAGTTAGTTAGTTAGTTAGTTAGTTAGTTAGTTAGTTAGTTAGTTAGTTAGTTAGTTAGTTAGTTAGTTAGTTCTGAAACGTACATCCCATCCCATTGGTGCACAGCACTATTCTGGATAGCGTATATATAGAAATCCGGGCAGAAAAACAAAATGATATAAGCAAACATAGTAATAGGCAAACAAGAAACAAGGAAAAAATAGGCAAAGTTATTAAACCCCAATGGTGTGGTAAAACCAAGCAGCAATAGAAGGCAAGGAAGATTAAGGGAAACTGCCACCAAAAGCATCTCAAAAGTGATGAGTTTTTAGCAGCCTCCCAAAATTAGTGAGGAAGCAGGCTAGGTGTAGCTGTTAGAGCAGAGGTCCCCAACCTCCAGTCTAGGCCCAGTGATGGTCCGTGGCCTGAGCCGGACCGGGCCATGCAGACCTCCCACCCCCCTGCACACACTCACCCCCACACAGGTCACTTGCACATGCACGCGCACTCCAACGCACCCGTGCGAGCGCCATGCCACCGTTTGCGTGTGTGCGAGTGCACACACACCCATGTGAGCTCAGCACTGCTGTTTGTGTATATGCACGCCTGCACAAGCACCGCACCACTGTTTGTGCATGCACTCATTCGTGCATGTGCACAAGTATGGGGGTGACCCGCCTGTTACATACAGCACTGATGTTACCTGTCTGTCATGGGTTTGGAGGGAAAGTTCCATCCTATGGGGAGTGGAAGGCGGGACATCAGGAGGAGGGGCTGTACTGTATATATATATGTGAAGCCTGTGTGGTGAAGTTCAGACGCTGGGATGTGAAGAAGCAGCAGCTGGGAAGAAGAAGCTGGTGTGGGAGTCTGTGTGTCAGACAGGGTACTACTGTGTGTCAGAGTACCAACCTGATAGGTTCAGGTGTCTGTATGGTTAGCCAGAACTGATAGGTTCAGGGTCTGTGCTTCAAGTTAAGGGTTCTGTGTGAACCAAACTGTATGCATGTATGAATGAGACTAAGCCACGTTACTATATCTTATTCACCTGATCATTTTATTTTCCCTGTGTGTTGTATTTAAATAAACCTTATTCTTTTATTTGTTGAAAATCCATCCCTGGTCTGTGTGACTTCTTATAGGGAATGGTTGGTGGCAGCTTAGTTAACGTGTGGCAGATCCCAGTAGGTCTGGGTTTGTCACATTGATTGGTGTCCAGCGTGTGGGATACGACTGGTCCAGTTGTCCAGCGGTCCAGCAAAGCCTTGGCAAGTGTGCCCAGAGCAAGGGGGGGTCTAGTCAGGGACAATCTGAGAGCGCGTAGGTAATCTTCTAGGCTTACCTCACGGGGAGGTAGGCTAGTGGAAGAACGTGTAACCTCAGATTGGGGGCTAGATTAGGGAGCTCTGAGGCA